CATTTGAGACTAAGCAGGGAATTGATGGATTCCCCATGGTCAAGTCCAGAAAGCTTTGACTGAAGGTTGTAGAAAGCCTATGGAGGTGCTTGGACCGTGGCTCCCCAGGCAGGCAGGCATTGCAAACTCCATCCTGCTCCACTGTTTTCAGTGGGTGTTGCAATTTGACTTGTTTGTTCTTGAAACAAGATAGTGAAAGAACTAGGTGGAGAAGATTTAACTTGTGGTCTCCCCTCGGGGAAAGTTTCCTGGAACAAGCCATGAAGGGCTGGGGCTGTTTTGAAGGCAGTGGTTCTCCTCCAGTGCAGAAGCCAGCTTCTCTGGCTCCCTGGGATGGGGCCCAGTTCAGAGATCAGCTAAACTGTGAGAAATGCAGCAGAGCAGAATGCGGGCAGTTAGAAACACGTCTGCCTCCCTTCAACCGGCTGCGTGGAAAGACTTAGCAGCCGATCAGAGGGAGAAGCCACGTGAGAAGGTTGTAGGAGAAGAGCACAAAGACACCGAGGTTTAGAGCCTCAGGAAACACCCATGATTTGAGAAGCCTGCGCCCTACTGTCAATGCAGGCAGAAGCTGCGGTCCTGCCCTGGGATGGATGAGTGATTTTCCCTGCAGGCAGCTCAGTCCCACCACAAATATTTGAGGACTCTGGGAAGAACACAAAGAAACGTGCCAAGAGACTAATATTTAACAGCTATAAATCAAACTATCACATTGTTGACTAAAACATGTTCTATCCTCGCACCCTGAACAAATATACTCCTAAGACAACCTGGACCTCCAGGAAAAACGTAGCATCCTTGGACTCCCGCAAGTCACGCACCAGAATCAGACTGCACGAAGAGAGCAGGGCCTTGGCCTGCAGCCCCTCCCCTTTATCTCCCTACAGCCAAGACTCTCCGCCGCCTCCAGGGTCTCATGCACTCCCACACAGGACCTCTTGGCTTGCATCTCTAAGCTGTGTCACCGTCTCACAGCAGCCACCACTCGGGCCTATGACGCTCCCTGGGAGCATGGTCTCACCTCGGGGTTCCAACCCAAGGAAGAAACTTCCAAAGTCCCTAGATGAAGGCTGGGGGCAAGTAATTCTTAGGTCATAAGAACCCAGAGAATGATTAATGCGAAGGGACATAGATCCGGCCAGAGAGAAGAACTCTTAACCCCAGGCCCGAGCAGAACCCCTCTTGCCTGGGTCTCCAGCCGGTGCAGAGATGAGAAAGCCCAAAGAAGTTTCCACTTGGCCCCAAAGGTTGGATTCAGAAAGCTTCCCTGATTAATATAGGGAGTCAAGGGCTAACCCTGATTCACTCAGGTGAAAACAGATTCCTGCAAGAGACAGAGAGGCCCTCTGCAGACACCCTCCTAACAGTAAATGGGAAAATAGACACTCAGACCATGTGTATGTGTGTGTGTGTGTGGGCATGGGTGTTTGCAGGTGTGCATGTGTGTGCATGTGACTGTGTGAGTGTATGGGGGTGTGCGTGCATGCATGCTTGAGTGTGTGGTGTACATGTGTATCTCCATGTATGTGAGTGTATACATGTGAATGTGTGTGTGTAGGTTTATGCAGGTGTGCATGTATCGACATGTGTGCATGTGTAAGTGTGTGTGTGTGTGCAAGTGTGCATGTGTGTGCATCTGCATTTGAGGGTACGAGCGTGCATGTAGGTGTGTGCAGGTGTTCATGTGTGTATATGTGCAGGTGCACATGTGTGGGTGTGAGTGTATGTGGTGTGTGTGCATGTAGGTGTCTGCAGGTGTTCATGTGTGTATATGTGCAGGGGCACATGTGCAGGAGTGAGTGTATAGGGTGCATATGGATGTAGGTGTGTGCAGGTGTGCATGTGCAGGTGTGTATGGGGTGTGTGTGCATGTAGGTGTGTGCCGGCATGCATGTATGTTCATGTGTGCATGTTCCGATGTGACTGGGTATGCATGTGTGTGCATGTGCATGTGTGATTGCACACATACATGTGCAGCTATGGGTGTGTGCATCTGCATATGTATGGTGGGAAGCGGGTTCTGGTGCGTGGGATTTCCCCTTGCAGTGACCTGCCCTGGGACCCTGGTCTCCCCTTGCTGAGTTGTCTGTCACCAGCTGTCCTAGAATCTGGCTTTGAGACACAGGTGGACACCTGGTGCTGACTTCTGCAGTGAGAAATCAGCTCATTTCTCACTGCAGAAGTCAGTACCAAGCAGGTTGGTTCTGTGCTGGGCCATCACAGAGGTCACCTTCAAATTCTTAAAACAAGAAGTTGACAGACATTTCCATCCCTTTTCTGGCCCTGGCTGTCTGTGTTCCCTGAGGCCCATTGAACTCTGTGGTCAGGTATGTGGGCCAAGTGTGCAGCCTTGGAGCTAAATTTGAGGCCGTTCCCACCTAAAGGTGTGGCTGGCCAGCGGAAGGGTAGGAATGGAGCCGCTCAATTGGAAAGCACTCGCTGCGCAGATAAGAACCATTCTCTAAAATTAAGTCTCATAACAGGCAACATTTGCAGATCTGTTGTGTAAGTAGCCAGAAGCAGTATAAACAGAGGCTCTTCCAGCCAGCCTCATGGTCTCAGCGGGGCACATACCTTTTCCTTCTGTTCCCCATCTGGAGTCTCTGTTCTTGGCTCCTGGCCTTGTGCATTCTTGTTGGTCAAGTTGCTCCAGGTAAGACCCAAAGCTGGGCAGCGAAGTCGGGCAGCGTGGGGGCTGCAGGATCTCAGGCCCAGAGAATGGGGGTTAAGCTGTGTTTTGACAACAGCTCAGGGTCTAGAAATAAGTCATAAATCTGAGCATCAGAGAGAGGATCAAAATAATACCGACTCAGGGGAAATGCTTATCTTTCTTTTTTTTTTTTTTTTTAAACTCACTGAGACATCCTCCAGTATCTCTGTAGACTGAGGGTTGTTTCCCTGGAACAAGCACCGAGTTCCCAGGGAGACAGTGAAAGGAATGAGCCAGGCTTTTAGGACAGCAGATATGGTTAGCCCTAGAAATAGGCCTTGTAGATAACTGCCTCATAGGAGGCACCTGCCCCCAGGGCTCATTTCCCACCTGATTCATTTCTCAGCCTGGGAGAAAGTGCGGGATACAGAAGAGAGCTCAGCCTGGGAGCCAAAGCACAGTGTGTAGCTCCCAGCTCTGACACTCACTCGCAGTGGGCCTTCCTGCGAGTCACTGGGTTGTCCTCAAACTCAACTCTGTCTCTGTAAAACAGGAATAAAAACCCCCGCGTGGCACAGAGGGTTTCACGATGACACCTGAGGCTAAGCTCAGGCAGAGCCTCGTAAAGCATCACGGACATTGGAGGTACTGGCGATGTTTCTGTTGCTGTTGCTTTCCGACTTCCGTTTTCTGTATTCTCTGCCTCCTCTCCCGCCGAGCCGGCCCACCATGCCGGCCTCCTGAGCCCTGGATGTAGCTCAGTGGCCTATGGGGTCCCAGTCCCCGAGTCCTGTCCACTCTTTCTGCCCAGTGCCTCCTGCTCTTCTATGCCCAGGGCAAGTAGGAACTGTGCTCTGGCTTGTCTTCACACTCATACGAGGTGGCAGAGATTCCTGTTATGGAATCTCCACCCCACTCTGTCTCTTTAGCAGGGACTAGAATCTGGGGTGCAAGAGGGAGCTAAGAGTCAGCATTTGGGGCAGATACTATGGAATTTAGCGTTTTTAGAGTTGAGGCTGTCCTGCAAGCCAAGAACCACTGACAGCGTGGCACAGATTGACACAGACCACAGCGCGGGATTCACAGGGAGTACCACCCTCAGCTGAGGAGCTGAAATATACTTCCCTCTCCGCAGGCAATGGCCAATGCCTTCCGAAACCCCTGAGTGCTTCCAGAATGGCGGTCAATGTATATTTTCTTACACAATAGGGCAAATCCCTGTTGGTTCCTGTTACAGTGGAAGAAAAATGCAGCCAGGGCCTGTGACGGGCTGAAGATCACCCGAGCACAGGGAGCCGGAGAATGAAATAGAACGCTCACTTTAGCTCTAAAGATTCTACTGTGTTACCTCTTGCAAATAAATAAATGAGCAGGTGCTGGATTTAGGAATGGCGATTACGACGCAGAAGAGTATTTGGGAGAGACACATGTCTAGACGCAGAGAAGGAAGGAATACTGTGTGTGCATGAGGAGTAACCTCAGGTTACTTCTCTGAGTCCCGGAGGCTGGAAGTCTGACATCCGGTTATCGGCAGGGTTGATTTGGTTCCTAGATGGCCGTCTTCTTCCTGCATCTTTGTGTGTTCGTCCCTTTGTGCATGTGTGTGTCAGTATCCAAATTTCCTTTTCTTATAAGGACACCAGTCCTACTGAATCGGGGCCACGTTAACGGCCTCAATTTAACTTAATTACCTATGCACAGACCCTACTTCCAAATACGGTTACATTCTGAGGCACTGGGAGTTAGGACTTCCACTTAGGAATTCGGGTGCACACAATTCAGCCCTTCCCACGAGGCTTATCCCTGCATCTGCAGTTAGCTTCCAGGTTCATTGTGGGCTGGCTGCTACCAAGGCAATGCGAATTGTAGAGCCATGTGCAAGGTGTCCTGAGGCCTACGTTCATAACTGGCCCCTTCTGCTGCTTTTATTGGTCAAAGCAAGTCAAAAGGCCAATTAGATTCCTGAGCTGGGGAAACAGACACTACTAGCAGATGGGAGGAGCTGCAGAGTCAGATCACAAAGGGTCTGATTCAGAGGGGGATTCAGGGCCACAATGGTGGCCCGCCTCGCTATCAACCACAAAGAGTATCCAGGTTCCTTCTGCCTTACGTGCTTTGTGTGTGTGTGAGGGGCTTAACGTAGCTCAGTGTGCCTTGGAAGACCCCGAACACTGTCTTTCAGGCAGAAGATTCTCTGACAAAAATCCATACGGATTAAAGATGTGCTTCAGAGCCCGATCCCAAGAGTTTGATCAAGCACAGCCCAGGAGCTCTGATGCCAGTGAAGTATTAGTTTTAAAATGTCATGCATGACTAGTCGTTGAGGGGAAAATAAGAATTTCTGGACTTCTTTATACTTTTCCATTTATATTGCATTGATTATTGGTTACAGAGAGGGACAGGGACTGAAAATATTTTGTTTCAAAGGCACCTAATGGTTTTCATCTCGACTTTGCCCATTCCTAGTGACCTGAAAGTCACTTGAGGTGATTGTGTATCTAGGGGCAGTAGTAGGACTGAAGGACGGGTGACAGAGTGCACTTTAACTCCCCAAAAACCTCCTCCCTACAGCTACCCAAATAACATGCAAATATTGATAAAAACAAAGAATTTGCAAAACAAATGTAACTTCAAAGTCATTCCCCAAACCTTCTTCCAGCTTTATGTAAATCCTTCCTGCATAGCCCCTGCCTTTGCCCACACAGTCCCCAAGCAGAACAGTGCCTCAGAGCCCCAACCAAATGTTCCTGCTCCATCTCCCGCAGCCCTCGCCCTCCTCGCATGCTCTCCCACACACACGTGCCTTACCCCTGCTGACCAGGAAGGGCCCTGCCCCTTCTTCACCTGGCTTACAGGAGCCCCTTTTTCATAATGGTGGAACTTCGTCCCTTTTTTCTCTGTGCTCCCAGAATATGCATTGAACCAATGCTGTTCAATCCTAAAGAGTGCAGGTGAGGAGAGGGAAAGAAGGGTCTTCACGGCTACTGCCCATGGGGGGGATGCTGTCTGCCAAATAACCATCACTCTAGTCCCCAGATCCATTGACGCCTTCAGCCCATTGGTGTGTATTGAGTGCTCCCTCTGTGCCAGGAGCTGGGAGACAGGGGTGAACAAGTCGGATGAAGTCCCTCTCCTCCGGTGCTCCTGTAGAGGGAGACGGTCAATGAGAAAATACACACATGAACTGATGTATGTGTGTGTGCAGGAAGAAAAAGAGAGCAGGATGAGGGGGCGCAAGCGTCCAGGAAGAGGCCTGCGAGAGCCACCCACCTCTGCCCCACAGCCCCTCACAATCACAGGGTCCCCATCTCAATTCCAGCTGCCCTCACCCCACCCCATATACACAACACACAGGCCCTGGGGAAGGCAGCCCCAGGGACACTGGGCCGGAACATCACAGCAGACAGAAGAGGGGTGGCCGCTCTGGGTTTCTCCCTTATTGCTACTGCACTCACGGAAGGCCTGTTTCCTTCTTTGTGCCTGGTGTCTGCCTTGCCCCAAGAGGAGAAAGAGAAAGGAAACAAAAGTGGGCCACACTGCTGAGAGCAGCTCTTCCCATGTCCAGAGACTCTCCTTTCACTCCACACACCGAAGTGTGCCTCTGGAAACACCGCAGCTTGCAGGAGATCCCGCTGGACTGGGGTCAGACATATCTTGGCTCTGTGCCTGGCTCTGCATCCAGCTCTGCCTCTACCAACCGAGAAACTAACCTCTCTGGACCTCAGTGAGCAAATACCTGCCCTGCCCACCCCACGGGCTTGTGTGCAGTAACTATGGAGAAAGTATTCCCAAAGCATTCAGAAGCTAGCTGAGATTTTCAAGTCCTAAGGATTATTTTAATAACCTTAAAATACATTTCTTTTCACATTAAGTCATCTTCAAACCAAATGACGTGGTTTGAAGACACAGGTTTTCCATTTCCTCTGTCCCAGAGTCAGAGAGCTCTGTTTAAACCTGCTCTGAGGGTTTGCAACGGCCGGTGCAACAGCGCAACCTACTGGCTGTTTGCCCTGGGACAAGACTAGACTGAGTTGCAGCGCTTCCTCGCTGCTTTCTTTCATTCATTCACTTACTTGTTTATTCACTTATTTATTCATACACCCAACATGCACTGAGAAGGCATTATATGCTGGGCACACTCTCACGATCTGCTATCTATGCAGGTGCAAACAAGCCATGGCCCTGGCATTACAGGGTCCGGATGGGCTTAAGGGAGGATTTGTTTGCATGGCTTGGAGGAGGGGGTGAGAAGAGCCCTGGCAACCATGGCTTTCTCCTACACACTGGAAGAGGGATGCTACAGAAGTTGGGTGGCCCGACTGGCTCGTGGATCATCCCAGGGTTAGCAACAACAGAAGACACCAGTATCTTCCACATCAACTCCTTCAAGTATTGCTACAAATTTATAGAGCCAAAACATTCCTTTTACTCTCGTTTCTAATAACGTACCCCTGGAAATCTATCTAAAAGTAAACATTCCAGCAGAGGACAGTGGAGGAACTATGTTCCACAAATGGTTATTGCAGTGGTATCAAATAAAACAAATAAAATCTTCAGCTATGTAGGATTTGCTAACAATAATAAGTACTATACAAATATTTGAATGTATTCCTGATACATTAGGTGTAAAATGCAGAATATTAACTTCAAGGCTCATTGTTATTTCATTAATGTAAGAGAAAAGATAGACAGATAAGACTAGAAAATGTATGCCCAACATTAAAATAATAATTGCCTTAATTATGAAGGCACTGTGTCTGATTTTTAATTAGACTGTACCACACTTAACCTGAACTGCTCTAATCACACCAGCAGTGCCAGAGGTCCCTGGAGCCTGGGACCTTATGTTTCTACTGAGGCTGGGCATTACCTAATTTGTAATTTTTGCCAATTGAAAGAAGTAATGTGATGTCAGGCCAGAAGTGTGGCTCACATCTGTAATCCCAGCACTTTGGGAGACAGAGGCAGGCAGATCACTTGAGGTCAGGAGTTCAAGACCAGCCTGGCCAACATGGGGAAACCCTGTCTCTACTAAAAATAAAAAAATTACCCTGGCACAGTGGCAGATGCCTGTAATCCCAGCTACTCATAAGACTGAGGCAGGAGAATCGCTTGAACCCGGGAGGTGGAGGTTGCAGTGAGCTGAGATCGCACCATTGCACTCCAGCCTAAATGGCAGGGCAAGAACTTGTCTGGTAAATAAATAAACAGATAAGTAAATAAAGTGATGTCATTCACTTTGCAGTTTGTAAAATATTGATAGGTTTAAGCATCACTTAAATTATCTTCAGTTTAGGATCATTTTCTTGAGTAAATTGGGCCTTTTCAGGTTTTTCTCTTCTACAAATTGCCCTTTCCCCTCGTTTACTGAGATTGCTGCCTCCCCGTTTTTGTTGAAATATAGGAGTTACCTGCATATTTCATATAGTAAACGACTTGTCAGTTTGAGACATTGCAAAACACTTCTCCCACCGCATCTAACTTCTGTCCGTTAATGTCCACAAGCTCCTTCATTAGACAGAAGGCTTCAGTTGTTACACACAAAAAAAATGCAATCCATTTTTCCCTTGTGGTTTGTGTTTTGAGGTACTTAAGACATCCTTCTCCATTACTAAATTATAAAAATATTCTGCTATTTTTTTATACTTCTTTCTGTTAAGGTCTTATCTTTCATATTTAGGTCTTTACTCCACCTGGCATCCACCTGTGGGCATGTGCTAGGTGGAGATCTAGTTTTACTGTTTGGGATCTAATGAGCTCATTTTATCACACAATTACTAAACAATTTGTCTTTCTCCATTGATTTGTGGGGCCACTATTGGTCATATATTTTAAGTTCTACATATTTGCAGGTCAGCTTCTGAGTTCTCCACTGCGTTCCAAGATTTTTTTTGTCTGTTCTGTGCCAAGACCATATGTTCTACAAATAGGACTTTTCCTTGATCTAGCTTAATATTTACAAGGGTAGAAATCCCTCTTTATCCTTCTTTTCAAAGTTGGCTAATTTGTGGACCTCCTCTTTTCATCCACATTTTAGAGTAAGTCTATCAAGTTTCATAAAGACCATGTTGGAATTTTTAATAAGATTGCATTGAATGTATAGATTAATCAGGGAAGAATTGACAACTTTATTAAGTTGTTTGAATCAAAAACAGGGAATATATCTACTCAGATCATTTCTTATGTTCTTTATTAGAGTTTAATAGTGTGCTCCAGACAAATCTTATGTATGTTTTAATTCCTCAGCACTTTATAGACATTGTAACTATTACAACTATCTTAATTTTTCCAGTTTTGTATAGTAGGTGTACAGAGAAATGCTATTGGTTTGTGTAAGTTATATTAGAAGGCCTTTTGAACTATTTTTTTTCCCCCCTTGGGATGGAGTCTCGATTTGTTGCCCAGGCTGGAGTGCAGTGGTGCGATCTTGGCTCACTGCAAGCTCTGCCTCCTGGGTTCATGCCATTCTCCTGCCTCAGCCTCCCAGGTAGCTGGGACTACAGGCGCCTGCCACCATGCCCAGCTAATTTTTTGTATTTTTTTAGTAGAGATGGGGTTTCACCGTGACAGCCAGGATGGTCTCGATCTCCTGACCTCGTGATCCACCTGCCTTGGCCTCCCAAAGTGCTGGGATTACAAGTGTGAGCCACTGCACCCGGCTGCCTTTTGAACTATTTTATCAGCTTGACAAGGTTGATTGTTCCAGGTAGACAAGCATATAATCATCTGCAGAATCCTCTGTCTCACTCATCCCTTCTGCTAGTTACATGATCTTATTTCCTTCAGTTTCCTTATACATTAGGTATACCCTCCAACACAATATTAAACAGTAGTTGTAATGCTGAGCATGCTTGTCTTCTTATCTGTGAGCCACTGTGCCCAACCAAGAAAAATCATTTGATTATTTCAATCCTAGCACTTGGGGAGGCCGAGGCAGGCAGATCACTTGAGCTCAGGAGTTTGAGACCAGCCTGGCCAACATGGCGAAACCCTATCTCTACTAAAATACAAAAACGAGCTGAGTGTGGTAGCACACGCCTGCAATTCCAGCTACTTGGGAGGCTGAGACACAAGAATAGGGCTTGAACCCAGGAAGTAGAGGTTGCAGTGAGCCGAGATTGTGCCTCTTCAATCCAGCCTCATGACAGAGTGGGTCTGCCCCAAGAAAAAAAAAAAAAAAGAATTTTCTTGTTCAAAATGATAATGGAGTGACATCAAAGGATTTGTGGGTTGTGAAAATTCATAGTAAAACCCACCGTATCATAATATTTTAATATATTTTGAATTTATCATTTTACCTAGGATTTTTGCATCTGTGCTCGTCATTAAAATAATTTTCTTTCTACATATATCTTTACAAGCAAAACTACAGCAGTCTTTTAAAATAAGCTGGGTAAAGTTTGGTTTTTATTTCCTGGAGCAAATTATATTAGGTAGCAGTTAGTTGTTTAATTGTTTCTTGAAACTTTGGCAGAATTAATCTAAAACTACCTAGACCTGAACAGTCTTTGACTGCCAGTTTAATTTCTCTAACAGTCACTGGACTATTCAAGTTCTCTTTCTTTCTTTTTTCTTTTTCTTTTTTTTTTTTTGAGATGGAGTCTCCCTCTGTCATCCAGGCTGGAGTGCAATGGCACCATCTTGGCTCAATGCAACCTCCACCTCCCGGGTTCAAGCGATTCTCCTGCCTCAGCCTCCAGAGTAGCTGGGATTACAGGTGTCCACCACCATGCCCAGCTAATTTTTGTATTTTTAGTAGAGATGGGGTTTCACCATGTTGGCCAGGCTGGTCTCGAACTCCTGACCTCAGGTGATCCGCCTGCCTTGGCCTCTCAAAGTGCTGGGATTACAGGCGTGAGCCACCACGCCTGGCCAAGTTCTCTTTCTTCTTATGCTAATTTGAGCATGCTTTCACAATGGGATGTGCCTGCTCCCCTTTCACCTTCCCTTATAAGCCTAAGCTCCTGAGGCCTCCCTAGAAGCTAAGCAGATGCCAGTACATGCTTCCTGTAAATGCTGAAAAACTGTGAGCCAATTAAGCTTCTTTTCTTATAAATTACCCAGCCTCAGGTATTTCTTTATAGTCATACAAGAACAGCCTATTACAATACATAGGTATATACATGAATAGCAAAGAATGTCTCCTTGATCAGACATTGGACAGCCTCCTTCCAGCTCTCTGCACCACTGGGCTCAACCTGGGCATTCCTGTCTCTGCCCCTGCAGAGTCTAGTTTTAGCAGGAATCCTGCTAAGTCAGTTTAACCCCAATTCCCCACGCCGGGTGTCTGAACACCCTCCATACCCGACCAAATTCCAACACCTGCTCCACCCCATCCCCCCATCCCCCATGTGGATCACCTTGGCCCACCCTCAGCAAGAATCCTGTTAGGTCCACTGAGCCAGAACCCCCACTTGATGTCCCCTTCTCAGTGACTTTCCATCCACCATCCCCCATCCTGCTCCTTGGTTATAAGTAAGTCCTTTTCCTTATTATTTTCGGACCCCAATCTCTCTCGCCTGCTGCAAGACCTCAGTGCAGTCCCTGACATCTATGGCGATGGTTCTGAATAAAAGTCTGTCTTGCCGTTTTTAAAATGTCAGAATGTGTGTGTATATATCTCTATATCTGTAAACATATATAAATGTAGATAGAGATATCTCCGAGGAGAAGGTTTTCCAATGTGCAGTTTTTCTTCTTGCACGTCGGGATCTTAACCCTCAAGCAGATCTGGAAAAAGCTTTCATGAGGATAGAGCCTGGGATGGATTTGTAGGGGAGGTGTAGACCATGATGCCGGGTAACAGGCCCTGTGTTTTCTGGCCACACAACTGTAAGATTTCAAAAAGACCCAATCAACGATTCTAACCCAACTCTCTCTATATTTACTCAAACACAGTATTACTCCCTGACTAGTGGTTAACGGACTTGCTTTCGGCGGCCCCAGAGGCGGTCGCCACTTTAGCCACCTCCCGAGGAACCTGCGCAGTCCCGACGCTCACCAAGCGCTTTCCCGGCGGTTACAGGGTTGGGGGCAGCGCAGAACCCGCTTCTGCCCTTATCAGGAGCCCAGACCTCAGCTGGGCTCCACCACCCCGTCCCCACCCACCCTGGAAGCCAGAAACCCTAAGCATCCTCCCTCCCTCCCCTGCTGGCCGCTACGAATAAACCAGACCTACGCTTCGCGCCTAACTGCTCAGGCCGAAATGCTACCCGCAGTCGGACCCCGGGCCGGAAACCTCCCCGACGCGGGACCGCGGGCAGGGGAAGGGGCGGGCGCAGGCTGCGGGGTCGGCGCGGAGGATGCACGCGGGGCTCCTGGGGCTGTCCGCCCTGATGCAGGCGGCCGAGCAGAGCGCGCGTGAGTGCGGCAGCCCGAGGCTGTGCTCACCCCTGCAGCCCCCTACCCTACCCCGGCGCCGGAGCCGCACAGGCGGCCTATGCCTGGACCGGCACTGCCCGGGCCTGCGCCCAGCACTGCGCGCCGGTGACGCACGGTGGTAGCCACCCCACCTGCCGAGCACGTCCCCTTGTCCTTAGTGGATGCCCACGCATGCACGATCTCCCCACGGATGCATGATTTTCCTCCACCTATGCTCGGTCCCCCGCCCCCCGACTGGTGCTTGACTTCCTCCCGCCCCTGCACGATCCCCCCGCCCCACGCATGCAAGATCCCCTCGCAGAACCGGGGGAGATGTATCCGCCCTTCCTTCCATCACAAGCTTTGCAAAGTGCTGCGATGCCAAGATGTGCTGAGCGCAAGTCTGGGGGCTCCCGGGCTCTCCCCCGACTCCCCGCCAGCCCGGGGGACCCTGCGACTTGGAGGCTGCTCGCAGGAGGGGTGGCGGGAAGAGGGGGACAGGGCTCCGCATCCACGCGGCCCTGTAGGACAGCGACTCCGCTTCGGGGTTTAGGACAGGGCGGGACGCGGCCCTCCGGGGCCACCTCCGTTGAGGGGGAAGCCCAGAGCACGCCAGCCGCGGCGGAGCAAGATGGCCCCATTTTTCGCGCCCTTCTGGTTTAAATTCGTAACTCCTTCAGTGCCGGGGAGGAGCGTCTCCGCCCACTTCCGCCGGGCTCCCTGCGGACGCCTCTTCCGGGGCAGAGCCCCTCGGGGAGAAGAGGGGGAACCCTGGGGACGCTACCTCAGGACTTTTCCGTGAGTTCACTGGCGTCCTCGCTGGTCCGGCTGTTTCCGAGGCGCGCAGAGCAGGAAGCGCGCAGAAGACGCGCAAGCGCTCTGGCTCCGCGCCCCGGACGCGAAGGGCTGAGACAGGACCCGCGGGGGTCGGCACCCACTCCAGGTGTCCTCCCTTGTCCTCCAGCTGGGCGCGGCCTGGTTGTTAGCATTCTCCAGCCCTGCAGCACCCAAGGCTTTTTGTCCAAGGGAGGCTGCCGCAGGACGCTCGGGGTGGTGAGAGCTGGACCCAGCCTGGGCACTATGGAAGGGCTGCCTGAGCCCGGACCCCGCGGTCCAGAGCTGCAGCGTCCGCAGCTGTACCTCGGGGCAGTTTTCGCAGTTTCCCTAAAATCCGCGGCTTGTGTTCATTCATCCACTTAGAACTTTACCATTGGAAAGCCTAAGTAACAGTTGTGTGAAAGGATGCCTGTGTGCGGTGCCTCTACTAGCGCACCGCCTCCACGATCAACCTCAGGCAACCCTCAGGAGGGGGTGCTAGGAGTACCCGGGAGGCCCAGAGTTCCAGGCCAGGGAGTTCCCCATGTGAAAGTAGGAGAAGAGGGACCCCACAGAGCGAGCTGTGACCCCACAAGGACTAACGGTTCCGTAGTGTAGAGTTACTGACTGGGGAGTGCAGATCCTCTCTCCACTGTGTAACCGTACCCAACCACCATCACAAACAAACAAACAAACCAGAGCGGAGGTTTCATCGTTCTCGAGGATGCACAAGATGCTAGGCACTTCTCACATGTCGTATATTGCCCAGCAGCTCCGGAAAGCCCTGACACTGTCATTTAGTGCATGCCTGTCCCTGTTGCCAGAGGCTCTGCGGGCTCCCAGGCTGCTCCTAGGAGACTCTTGCTGGTGATGGGGACACTGTGTTGGTTGGTTACTGTTTGTTTTGTTTTGTTTTGTTTTGAGACAAGAGTCTCGCTCTGTGTCCAGGCTGGAATGCAGTGGTGCAATCTCCGCTCACTGCAAACTCTGCCTTCTGAGTTGAAGCCATTTGGGTGCCTCAGCCACCCGGAGTAGCTGGTATTACAGGCACGCAGCCACCACACTTGCTAATTTTTGTATTTTTAGTAGAGAGGGGATTTCGCCATGTGGCCCGGACTGGTCTTGAACTCCTGACGTCAAGCGATCTGCCCGCCTCGGCCTCCCAAAGTGCTTTGGTTTTATTTTTTTATTTTTTTATTTTTATTTTTTTTTTGAGACGGAGTCTCGCTCTGTCACCCGAGCTGGAGTGCAGTGGCCGGATCTCAGCTCACTGCAAGCTCCGCCTCCCGGGTTTACGCCATTCTCCTGCCTCAGCCTCCCGAGTAGCTGGGACTACAGGCGCCCGCCACCTCGCCCGGCTAGTTTTTTTTTTTTTGTATTTTTTTAGTAGAGACGGGGTTTCACCGTGTTAGCCAGGATGGTCTCGATCTCCTGACCTCGTGATCCGCCCGTCTCGGCCTCCCAAAGTGCTGGGATTACAGGCTTGAGCCACTGCGCCCGGCCTGGTTTTATTTTTAATGAGATTGTTAGGTGTGGCCACAAGATGAAACACAGGAGAGACTCTGGAAAGCAAAGTTTGTTGTACTCACAAGTCCTAGGACAGGAGACATGGCACACCATGCTGGGCCACAGGGCAATGTCACCAGCGTGGTCAGGAGGCAGGAGACAGGAACCACAGGAAGTTGAGGCCAGACCCTTTGCTGGGGCAGGGCACCAGCTTCAGATTAGCTCTTTGAATAATTTCTGTGGCTTTGGGGTATAAGGGTGGTGTCTGGTTGCCTGGCACTGGGCCCTGGGATGATTAAGGCAAAAGAAGTCCTCCTTTTTGGGGGTATGGGCCAGGTACGGGAGGTCTGGCTCTGGCTAGATTTAGTTCCCATGTCAAAGGTAAGACCCTGGCTGGGCCCTTTGCTAACTCAAATAACTGCTAGCCTTGGGAGGGGCAGTCACTCCCCAGCCAGAAAAGTTTTAAGAGGTCAGGACATCATAACATCCAGAAAATGTTAAATTGTTTAAAATGCAGGTACCCACACTCACTCCAGCCTTCCAATAACCTGCTTGCCTTTCCCCTTCTCCCCTAGGCCTCTACACCGTGGCTTACTACTTCACCACAGGGCGGCTTCTGTGGGGGTGGCTGGCCCTGGCTGTCCTCCTGCCCGGGTTCTTGGTCCAGGGCCTGAGCTACCTGTGGTTCCGAGCAGACGGGCATCAAGGGCATTGCTCCTTGGTGATGCTGCACCTCCTACAGCTTGGTGTTTGGAAGCGGTAAGAACAGCTGCGTCTTTCACCTCTGGAGCACAATTGCACAGGTGCAGTGGGAGGACTCTTCTGTCCGTGTGGCTTCTGTCCTCAAGGTCATAAAAGTTCGGCATTGGGAAGAGGTTCAAAGCTGCCATAGCAAACCCCTGCTCTGATATTGGTACCCCCGGCTCCAGCCTGCACATTGTTGAGCATCTCCAACCTCAGGGGCGCTTTCTCTGTGCAGCTGTGACCTTACGAAAGGCTTTTTCTTGTCTTCAGCTGAAGTCCTGTCTTGCTGTTTTGATTCGTTGGTTGAGCCATTAGTTCCATATAAAGCAACTTGGTTAAGGCAGTTCCATCTGCACACCTGTCACCTTAGAATAGGAAGGTGGCATAGCTTTAGTGAACCACAGACTAGAAAATGAAGCCAGTCTGTTCACATTCACTTCAAGACTTCGTCTCAAGAAAAAGTCATTTGGATGCCAGGGCTAGTTTTTTGTTTAAAGAAGTAGCCTGGGATAGTTCTGGGGCCTGGTGGGCTTATCCGTGATCCACAAACCATCTCTACAGGTGAGGGCTGATTTTTTCTACTTTGAGAACCTAGATTCAAGGAGCTATGAGAAGAGATGTATCCGTGAGTTTATATCAAGGGCACATTTCAGCTGTCAGCTGCTGCCTTATAATTCCATTGGGTTGATAGGGATTTTTGTTTTGTTTTGTTTTGTTTTTTGAGACGGAGTCTCACTCTGTCACCCAGGCGGGAGTGCAGTGGTGTGATCTCGGCTCACTGCAACCTCCGCCTCCTGGATCCAAGCGATTCTCCTGCTTCAGCTTCTCAAGTAGCTGGGACTACAGGCATATGCCACCATGCCCAGCTAATGTTTTATATTTTTAGTAGAGACAGGATTTCACCGTGTTAGCCAGCATGGTCTCGATCTCCTAACCTCGTGATCCGCCCACCTTGGCCTCCCCAAGTGCTGGGATTACAGGTGTGAGCATCTGCACCCAGACACAGGATTTTTTTTAAGGGAGAAAAATTCAGGGATCAGAGCAGCGAAGCCCTGCAGCTCAAGTGTTCATTAAATCATGGGCACCGAGAGCTGGAAGAGTGTTCAAGGGGTCATGGCCAATGCTGCTCCGTGTCCTGGGGGCTTATGCCTGCAAACTATTCCCAAGACTTTCTCAGGAGGCACTGAAATGAATGTTGAGCCCCACATGGTGCATCATTGCGAGCAGGGAATGATGCCATCCTGCCCAGAGTAGAATCTCAGCTAGGAGGTAGAGGGTGCTTCTGAGAAAGACTTCAGGTACCCACTCTCAATTTCACTGGACCCTCAGAGTTGGACCCTAAACCTCTAACAGCACCAAAAGCATATTTGCAGCCACAGGCATTTTGCCAAAGCTGGGCCTTTGTGTTTAAGCAGTGCCGTTCCTCTGAAAAGATAGGGCCCTTCCTTCCATGGGCGAGAAGGCAGAGAAGGATCTTTCCAAGGGCCTCGTAGGGTTAGAGCCTGTCCTGTGACCTGGCTACCATTGTCGTCCTCTTCCCTGATCGGCCCAGCCCAGTCATCAATCCATAAGGGCTCTGGGTCTTACTTGGCTTTGACCATCACAGTCATAAGGCATGAGCCCTCGAGGACAGAGAGTCTGTGGTGCCCAGGCTGGAGTGCAGTAATCTCTGCTCACTGCAACCTCCGCCTCCTGGATCCAAGCGATTCTCCTGCTTCAGCTTCTCAAGTAGCTGGGACTACAGGCATATGCCACCATGCCCAGCTAATTTTTTGTATTTTTAGTAGAGACGGGGTTTCACCGTGTTAGCCAGAATGTTCTTGATCTCCTGACCTTGTGATCCGCCCGTCTCGGCCTCCCAAAGTGCTGGGATTACAGGCGCGAGCCACCGCGCCGGGCCTTCCATGCACTCTTAATTTTCTTAAGTGATGCCATGATTTTCTGGTGTATATTAAAAAAACTAAATTGAATACTCAGGTATATACTAGTGAACTCATATAGATAAGTGAAGAGATACATGAAAATTATAAGTTAGGAAAAACCATTAGTCATGTATATTTATTCTTGTTTTTAAAAAGAGGTTAAGGTGACTTTAAAAATACACATCCTTAAAAGAACAAAAAAGAAAAGAAAAGAAGTGAGAAAGGCCAGGTATAGAGATGAAATGTTAGAAAACAAGATAGGGCCAGAAGGCACAGTTATTGGAAGCGGGTCACAATTTGGCCCTAAGGTTTGTAACAGCCAGTGCAAGCATAAAAGCCGCAGGATTTGCAGTGTTTCTCAGGTTAAACATGAACCAAAAAACAGAAATTTACTTCCATGGAGGAAAGCTTTGAAAGTTAAAATAGACAGCAGTAGATCTATTCCTTATCCTGAAACTAGCACGTTGGGTTCAAAGAAAACACTGAGTAGTGTTTTAGTGAAGCAATCCAGCTTTCCGAATTGCAGTTCTGCAAAAGGACCTGTAGGGGGAGCCAAAACAATTGTGTTTTGCACAATTTTGAATTGCCTAAGAATATAGGTCCCTTTGAGTGTCCTCACAACAAAATACAAAGGAATCTACTAACTGAAAATCTAGTAAAACACAAAGTTACTTATAAAAATGCAAGGATTGAGGCCAGGCGCTGTGGCTCGCACCTGTAATCCCAGCATTTTGGGAGGCCGAGGCGGGTGGATCACGAGGTCAGGAGATTGAGACCATCCTGGCTAACACTGAAACCCCATCTCTACTAAAACTAAAAAAAAATAAAAAATAAAAAAAATTAGCCGGGCATGGTGGCTCAGAGATAAGAAGACAAGCATGCTCAGTATCACAACTACTGTTTAATATTGTGTTGGAGGGTATATACCTAATGTATAAGGAAACTGAAGGAAATAAGATCATGTAACTAGCAGAAGGGAAGAGTGAGACACTCATCCTCTGCAGATGATTATATGCTTGTCTACCTGGAACAATCAACCTTGTCAAGCTGATAAAATAGTTGAAAAGGCAGCCGGGGCGCGGTGGTTCATGCCTATAATCCCAGCACTTTGGGAGGCGGAGACGGCAGATCATGAGGTCAGGAGATCGAGACCATCTTGGCTAACATGGTGGAAACCCCGTCTCTACTAAAATACAAAATTTAGCCGGTGTGGTGGCGGGCGCCTGTAGTCCCAGCACTCGGGAGGCTGAGGCAGGAGAATGGTGGTGAACCCGGCGACGCAGAGCTTGCAGTGGCCGAGATGGGACCAGTGGACTCCAGCCTGGGCGACAGAGCGAGACTCCCTCTCAAAAAAAAAAAAAAGCAAGGGATTTGGCCTGGCGTGATGGCTCACACGTGTAATCCCAGTGCTTTAGGGAGGTGGAGGCAGGTTGATCTCTTGAGGCCAGGAATTCTACCAAGCTGGGCAACATGGTTGAAAACCCCATTTCTACTAAAAATGAAAAAATAGGCCGGGCGCGGTGGCTCAACCCTGTAATCCCAGCACTTTGGGAGGCCGAGGTGGACGGATCACGAGGTCAGGAGATCGAGCCATCCTGGCTAACATGGTGAACCCCGTCTCTACTACAAAAATACAAAAAACTAGCCGGGCGGTGGTGGCGGGCGCTGTAGTCCCAGCTACTCGGAGGCTGAGGCAGGAGAATGGCGTGGACCCGGGAGGCAGAGCTTGCAGTGAGCCGACATCGCGCCACTGCCACTCCAGCCTGGGTGACACGCGAGACTCCGTCTCAAAAAAAAAAAAAAAAAGAAAAAATAGCCAGGCTTGGTCACTCACACCTGTAATGCCACCTACTCAGGAGGCTGAGGATGGAATCATTGACCTGGGAAGCGAGGTTCAGTGAGCTGAGATTGCACCACTGCACTCCAGCCTAGGCAACAGAATGAGACTCTGTCTCAAATAAATAAATAAATAAATGCAAGAATTTAAGCCATAAGTGTATTCTTTTTAACGTTCCCAATAATACATACTATGTTAATTTTAAGTCTGACTCTGTTCAAGAGAACCTAACATTGGTGACTACTTATTCAAACAAAGACCATTACTTTTTTCCACTTAGGTTTTTTACTTCCACTTTAATACTGTACATTACCAACATCTTTTTCATCTTTCTTTTTAAGCTCATTTGTAAACTCAGCCTGAGATGACAGAAGAATGCCTATCTCATCCTTCGCGTGCATCTTGGTTTAGCAATTTTTCTTTAGTGAAAATTCAAGGTTCTCAAAAGCAAAGTTAAAGTAAACTCTAAAGGTATATAAGACAAGTTCAGCATAAATGGGTGGAGATTTAATATTTAAAAGTATATAAAATATAGCCCTAGCGCTGGAGGGCCGAGTCGCCTCAGGATCCCTCGAGTGAGGCTTGAAGGATGCTGCGAGTTCCATCAATGTAGGGAGGGAACAGGCATTTCCGACACAGAAAGCTGCAGCCGCTGGTGCAAAGACATAGATGCGTTCCAGAAGTGATGTGTTTAGGAAATTAGGAGAAGCTTATTGAGACTAGAGGGTAAGAATTTCCTAGATGGCAGGAATGTGGCGGGAGATAAATGGGCTGGACCGTGAAGAAACTTTTCTACTGGGATAAGGAGTTTGGATTTTATTCTCAGGCATTGGAGACCTGTTGGAAGGGTTTGAGCAAAGGAATAATATGGGCAAATAAGCCTGTAGACAGATGGCGCCAGGGACAATAAAATGGAACAGAGTTGGGAGGGACACGGTCCAGGCGGGCATCCAGAAATCCAGGCAAGAGCTGATGAGGACCTGGAATGACGCAGTGACTGTGAGGACAGATGTCGGATACCATCTCATAGGACCTAGTGACCAAACCCCCATGCTCTCCATCCTGCCTCAGCTTTCACCCCAGCTTCCCTAGTGGCTGTCCAGGGGTCTCAGCCTGAATTTCTCCCTTTGCAATGGGTTCGAGACATGTCGTTTCAGAAAACCAGGCTAATCACGTTCCCACTGATCCTCTGTTTCTTACAAGGGTAGCCCCACGACTCAGCCTCTCCTGCCTCCCCCACCTTACCAAGCACCAGATATTCGCTATTCCCAGACATGGACCTTCATTTCAGCGCCTTGTACCCTGTGCCACTGATCCCAGACACTCCTTTAGGCTGTTCCTACCATCTACTTGTCCAGAGTTTGCCTGTCCTCCTCTTCCAGGAAGCCCTCCCTGACCACCTTATTCTCTCTCCCTGTGACTCTGATTCCACCACTACCCAAGCCACTCATTTTGATACTTTTGATACATTTCTTCCTCTTTAAGCTTTTCACATTTGTATGTTTTCTTTCCTACGCTGAATCTTAAGTTTCTAAAAGACATTCTTTTTTTTTTTTTTTTTGTGAGAGTCTTCTTGCTCTGTCACCCAGGCTGGAGTGCAGTGGCATAATTATGGCTCACTTGCATCCTTGACCTTCTGGGCTCAAGTGATCCTCCTACCTCAGCCTCCTGAGTAGCTGGTGCTACAGGCACCCACCACTATCCTAGCTAATTTTTTTTGTTGTTTTGTAGACATGGGGTCTCCTTATGTTGCCAGGGCTGGTCTCAAACTCCTAAGCTCAAGCAATCCTCCTGCCTCGGCCTCCCAAAAAGCTGGGATTCATTTCTCTTACTTCTGCTGTGGTCTGTAGTAGGTGGGCTTTTCAAAGCCCAAGAAAAATGCATATTGAACAAACAAAGCTTTTCTGGAAGAGCAAGAAGAGGAAACTCCCCCGTGTCAGGAACAAATGATTTGAGAGTGAAAAGAAAACCACTGCCTGCCCTCATGGTTACATTTTTTAGTGTCATATTTTTTTTAACATTAAGTTTATGTCGGGAATCAAGACACAGTAAGAAATGGGTTCACTCCAGGATTCTAAATCATGAAAAAGGAAAGTTGTTTTTCTTGGACATCTGTCCTAGGATCTCAGCACCATGAATAAAGCCATTTCGAAGAGGACTCCCCGAATCTTCTGCTCTGGACGTAGAAATGTTTGCCAGCCATCAGGGTCCAGCTTGTCACCTGCCAGTCAGAGCCTTAGGGGTCTCTAGAGGGAGTTTTGCAGGTGACCTTCCAGATGCATCCAGCTTGGCTTCGGGAGCTGCTGCATTGAAGGGACCTCTAGTTCTTAACTTGGACGAGACAGGGAAGCAGAATCTGGTGGGTTTGCTGGGCACCAGGCTTGTGTGCAGGCGGCTGTGGTCGTCTCCTTGTTGCTGCTGCAGGGTAGACCCAGAGAGGAATTGGTGGGTGGTGGTGAAATCTCATCCGCAGGCGAGACTCGAAGTCTGAGCCCACAGGTGTGGCTGGGGAGTGGCTTCGTCATTGTCATGGGTTCTATGTGGCTCTTCAGGTTGTAAGGACGGTGGCCTGTGCCACTTTCTACTCATGAGATGAAGGTTCCAATAAAGGTGTCTGGCATAGGCTCGTGGGAAACAGAATGAAGCGAGGACATGTTCTGACTTCTTTCTCTGGTGCTTGATTTCTTTTCCGAGAGCCTAGGAGGGCCGCCCAGGCTGGGTGAGGCGATGTGTCCCGTGGCCCGGGGCCACCCCATCCTGTAATCCACAGTGCAGACATCGGCAGCTCTCTCTGCCGCCCGGTTCTTGGCCTCCACCCACCCTTGCTGGTGTCCCTTTAGTATCCAGAGCCCTTAGTGGGAACAGTCCCCAGGGTGCTGTCCTTGACCTCTGCTGTCTTCACACAGTCTCTTCTGGCCACTTCCAGTCCCTCAAACACAACTGGTCATCCAGATCTCTCCTTATGGGGGCTCCAGCCATCCTCACATTCCTCACTGCTGAAGAAATTCATATTGTAGCCAATCCAGCACTCCTCACCTGGCTTAATTCCGTCGGTAGCACCACCATTTCCAAGTCATTTAGGCCTGAAACCTCAAAGCCACTGCAACCTCTCTCATCTCCCCTGTTCAGTCATCAAATCCTGATCTCCAACCCCACTATTTTCTGCCCCTGCTCCCCACTTTCCATTCCTAAGACTCCCTTCTCACTCACCCTTCACTAATTACTGCTAGAAGTATTCTGTTAGCTCTATTTCCTCCTGATGTTCCTATCCCCTGTTCATACACACACACACTACATGCGTGCACACACACACACATTGCACATGCTACACATGCACACTGCACACATACATGAATATACATACATGCACCTGCATACACACACATATATACATATCCACACTATACATATGCATGCACATAATGCATATATACATACGCACATGTTTTGCACACTTGCACACACACATGCATACATGCACATGCAGTACATATAACACACACAAGCACATATACACCACATATGTGTGCACACATATACAGCACATGCACTATGCACGCACACATACATAGACACACAAATCCATACACATTCATCTCATACCCCAAATAGTACATATACCTCTGCCAAATTCCTTTTTCCAGAGCAAAATCCAAACCCCGTAGCCTGAGGTCCAGGGCCCTGATCTGCTTCACTGGGACCAATCACATCAGCCTCCAAGCTCCGCATGGTGCTCCAGCCACCTGGACCTCTGGCCTCCCCCCAGCAAAGCCGCCAGATCCTTCTTCCCTGTCTGCTCTTCATGTGCCCCAGGTTTAGCAGCCCAGAGTTCTACATTCTGTGAGGATGAGGACGAGAGCTTTTCATCTTTTTGTCCTCCAAAGAGATGACAACACAATACCTTGCAACAAACATCTGTCAATAAATGAATTCCCATCCCAAGAGGGTCCGGGGAGGGACTCAGGTCAGGGTGATTGCTGAGCCTCACAGAGCTGGCAGCCTGAGTTCCCTTGCCATGCAGCCGCTGCAGCTCACAGAGCCCCCGGGTCAGGTACTGGAGTACCAGACGTGGGGAGAGTGTGGCCTGGCTGAGCACCGTGGGACTCAGGGAACTGACATAGAATTGACGTCTTCTGCTTGCAGTCAGTGCCCGGCAGCAGACTAACTAGTAATCGAGGTGACTAGTAAGGGCATAGGATATTGCTTAGCATGTAGTATGTCTCTAAATGAAAGCTGGTCCTATTGAAGCTCACCACAGTCTGGCTCCAGGTCACGTGCCCTCTGCTGTTCCCTAGGCACTGGGACGCTGTGCTGACCGCGCTGCAGAAGGAACAGGAGGCTCCCCATCGAGGCTGGCTGCGGCTGCAGGAGGCCGACCTGTCGGCCCTTCGACTGTTGGAGGCCCTGCTGCAGACTGGACCCCACCTGCTGCTTCAGACATACGTTTTTCTAGCCTCAGGCTTCACAGATATTGTGCCAGGTGAGTAACTTTCACCACAGAACACAGACTGTCTGGCAGCTGAAGGGGGACAGGAACGTGAACCTCTTTAGCAAAACCCTCCCTTCAAGATTTCCTCTGCTTAGGAGCATTAGGACACCTTGAGCTCACTAGCCCAAGATGATGCTTAAAACTGGCTTTTGCTGGTGCATTGAGTTTACAGAGAGTTGGCTCCCTTCTTTCTTAAGGGTCATGTTCTAAAGTCAGCCCATAAGATAGAAATTGCCCATAATCAAAATTACTCTGAAAATGCCTTGGAAAGACTGCCTCTCCATAAACTCAATGCACTTGTTTTTCTTCTATCTTTAGTCATTAGAGTAATTATTGGCCGGGCACAACACTCACACCTGTAGTCCCAGCACTTTGGGAAGCTGAGGTGGGCGGATTGCTTGAGCTCAGGAGCTCAAGACCAGCCTGGCGAAAACCCATCTGTACCAAAAAATACAGAAATTAGCCAGGCATGGTGGTGTGCAGTTGTAGTCCCAGCTATTCATGAGGCTGAGGTGGGAGCATCACTTGAGGCCAGGAGTTTGAGGCCGTGTTTGGCTACCACTGCACTCCAGTCCAGGTGACAGAGTGAGACCCTGTCTCAAAAAAAGAAAGAAAGGAAGGAGAAAGAAAGAAGCGAAAAGAGGAGAGAAGAAAGAAAGAGAGAAGATGAAAGAGAGAGAGAAAGAGAGGAGAGAAAGAGAAAGAGAGAAGAAAGAAAGAAAAGAAAGAAAGAAAGAAAGACAAGAAGAAAGAAAGATAAGAAAGAAAAGAAAAGAAAGAAAGAAAGAAAAGACTAGACTCTTTACAAAGCAGAGGCTTATGCCTTCAAAGCCATGTGGAAACTGAGAACAACTCAGGCCCAGCAATATTTGTCTCCAGCTCCCACTCATTTTCAGGCCATTCACATTGTCATTATGTCTCTCCCTGTTTCTCTCAGTTGCTTCTTGTTTCCTTCTCCCTCTCCCTCCTGCTTTCCCCTTTTCTCCCCTCCACTTCCCTCCCCTCCGCTTCTCTCCCTCCCCACCTCTCCCCTTCCATCTTCATCTCTCCCTTCCTCTTTGCTGAGTGTCCACAATTGCATACGCATAAATTAAATGCATCATATACATGACTGTCCTGTCCTTCCATCCATCATTATCAAAGAGCCTGACACCATTGGATGTTTTGGTTCTTTTATTAAACCTCCGTCATACGGATCAAACAGCAAAGTACATTTGGGGTGGAGCCATGTTCAGAGCCTTGTAGAATCAGCTTTGTTATACACAGCGGGCTTAGAGGATCAGGAAGTGGGACGTTTTTCTTAAAGGGCATAGAGAGAAAGAGTCCAGCCCATTTGCTGGGAAGAGCATTTAGTACATTGTGCAGTGGAAATATTTCCTGCATATCCCCGTTTCTTCCTGAATATAGACATGTGTATTTGGACACAGAGTTGTTATGTTACCTGTTAGTCAAGGTGGTGGGTTAGTGATACCCTCTGTGCAGCTAGACTTTAACAAGAGGTTACACATCCCATTAAAGAAATGCCGTGAGTAAATCTTCACAAGGTACTGTCACTTCGGAACCTTGAAAGCATACCACGTCTTTCTGCTTCCCTTGCAGGGGTGAGCACCCTGTTCTCCTGGTCCTCACTCTCCTGGGCACTGGTGTCCTACACTCGCTTCATGGGCTTCATGAAGCCAGGCCACCTGGCCGTGCCATGGGCCGCCCTCTTCTGCCAGCAGCTCTGGAGGATGGGCATGCTGGGAACCCGCGTGCTGAGTCTGGTTCTGTTCTACAAAGCCTACCACGTTTGGGTTTTGGTGGTTGCAGGTGAGCTGAGCTAATGATCTGGTCATCTGTTGCTGCATAAAAAACCAACCCAGAAATGAAGGTCTCAGGAACAACCACTTATGATCCTCAATCCCAGGCCTGCAGGCTGACGGGGCTCTCTGCTGAATGGATCTTGCCTGGGGGGCCTCAGAGATGGCAGTGGGGTAGCAGGTGTTCAGATTCATAGGGAGCCTTGACAGGAATTAGCAGCTGAGAATTCCAATGGAGAGGAACTGGGAACTGCTAGTCTTCTGTAAAAATAGGCTCAGAACTGGCTCAGCATTGCTTCTGCTGTATTCTGCTGGTCAAAGCAAGCACAGCCAGCCCAGATTCAAGAGCATGGAGGTCTAGACTGCAGCTCCCGATGAGTACACATCCAGAGCAGGAAGGAAAATGTACTAGCTCTCTTGGGAGATCCTCAGCTTAGACATCCCAGCCCTCAAAACTCCCAGCTAAATCTGGAGCAGAGAACTTCTCAGGAGACTGTTCTGTGTGATAGGCCGAAATCTTTTATGTAGAAAAACTGTCAGTCAAACGGGAGGGAGGTACAAGGTCCCACCTGCCTCACCTGATATAAAAATATATGGTATATATGTGATACCGCACATAGCCTCCAAAAGTGCACCATTTCCTTTGAATGCCGAATCTTGGACATCTCCTCTGTTGCAAATAGGACAGCTCCACTAAATCCAAGCCCTCCCTCCTCCCTCAGTCTAGGCACACACAATATGAATGGCAATGACAGAGAGTCTATCTGGCTCTGGAGGCTCCCTGAATAGGGCCTGTGTGTCCCTGCCAAGGAGAGCTGTCATCTCTGGTCATCAGTGAATATATTCTGCAAGAAGGAACAGTGTACTCTTGTTTTAAGAGAATTGGAGACATTAAGAAATATTTGGCTCTTGGGCCTAGATCAAACATTAAATACAGTTATTGGCAGAAAAGATAATTTTTTTGAAAAAAAAAAAAACTGTGCTTCTAAAGAGAGATTAGCTATTTTGTTATTCTTTTTTTAAAAATTCAGCTTGAAATCCAGAATGATTTTTTCATCTTAAAACATGGGAATAAAAATGAGAGCTGCACCACATAGAATTCTTTCCTTTGGATGTGGACGGTTTCAGCTCTTGTAACAATTTTAAAATAATTGGCAGTCAGTTTTATAACTGCCTCTTTAAACACTTTCTGGAATGAAAAGGGCATAGGTATACAATATTTGGCAAGTGTTATTGAAGCTAGTCTTTCTTTGGTCATCTTCGAATTAGGTCAGATACTCTTTATAAGAATAAAATGGGATAATACATGCAAAGACAAACTGCATTGGTTTTCTGTACCCCTCAAATCTCTTCTGGGTTTTGATGTCTCTTCTTGGATGCTGAGTCAAATGTGGTCGGAGAGGCTTCCAGACCCTGGTCTCTGTGTCCTTTCTTGTCCCCCCATCTCCCCATGTGGACCCTGACATCTGCACCTGGATTCTCTGCAGGTGCCCACTGGCTGGTGATGACATTCTGGCTCGTCGCCCAGCAGAGTGACATCATCGACAGCACCTGCCACTGGAGGCTGTTCAACCTGCTCGTGGGGGCCGTGTACATCCTCTGCTACCTCAGCTTCTGGGACAGCCCTTCCAGAAATAGGATGGTCACATTCTACATGGCAAGTATCATCCTAACTTTTACAGTGTATACAGCAAGTGGGGTGTGTATGGGTGTGTGTGGGGGGTGTGTTTGTGTGTGCACCAGTGCACACCTATCTCTTGAAGAAGGAATAGCTTAGTTTAAGAAAAATACTTAAAGAAATTATAGTCTTGAACAGAGATGACAGGTTTTGAAAATAGTAACCTGATCTCCAGTTGTGGCCCCGCATTCAATGTGGCAACAACTGAGGCATATTTGGTGATGTCTTCTCTACATCAGCCCACCTGCTGAATATCATATACTCAATGTCTTTGTTAATCAACTCCATTTTTATTAGGCGTTTATGATTAAGATCCAGGCATAGCCCTAGAGAGTATCAGAAACACAAAAGTGGCCTCATACTTCTTCAGATTGCTTTGAGGGCAGTAGAGATTTCTTCCTATTAAAAAAAATTATAATACTTGGAAAGTAAGTAGGCACCCAAATAACTAAAATCAGATAGAATGTGGCAAGGTGCCAAGAGAGAAAAAAAATGTCTGGGACTCATAGGAGTAGCTGCCAGCATCACCTCTCATCGGGATGACCAGAGACTTTCAGATGGACAGTGGAGATGGAGCTGGATTATAATGGGAAAAGGAGAGAAAATACAACCACGTAGGTGGGGGCACCTGTTTTGGAGTCAGAAAACTTGCACTGGAGCCCAGCTCTCCTGACTGCTACCACCACCTGGCTTCAGCCAAGAATTTAAACTGTCTGAACCTACTTCTTCTACGCACTCTAGGAATAAATAAGTCACCCTCTCAGTGTTCCTATGAAGATTAAATAAGATTTACATACTTTGCAGGGTTCCTATAAAGACCAAATAAAACAATATACATAAATAGCTGGCACAAAATAACCCATAAATTGTGGCCATTATTAACATGAAAAGGTGAGACTTTTGAGGGAGGAGTCAGGCATTCCAGGGTAGAGACCTGGGTGAAGATAAAGGCAGGATGCAGCTGCCGTCCAGGAAAGGGGAGCGTCCTGGACACCTGCTGATTTTGGGACCCATAAAGCACAGCGACCTCATAGGCTATGGAGCCAGACAGAGCTCACAGGACTTGTGACATTGGACACATTACTGAGCCTCACCAACCTCAGCTTCCACAGCTGAACACCGAGCATAACAGCATGTGTGTTGTAGATAGGTTCACATGCGACAGGGTCCAGGTCATGCATGAGCAGCCTCCCAACCCACATGATCCCCACGTGAACAAAGTGGAATCTGGATTTTCTCGGCCAATTTGCTGAAGTGGCTTATTCATGGGTGGACATCCCGTCTGCCAACGCCCAGATAAGCAGGAGTTCAATAAGGAGGAGTTTGACACCTGCCACCTTGTTTGCTTGCGTTTGTGACATTCTCACCTCAGTCGCCACGTCATCTCCCAGGAGTTTGAGGGCTGTTACAGAAGGAAAGAAAGCAAATCCTTCTTTCTTCCCAGCTGTCTCATACAGTCACTAAATCACTGAGTCAAGAGCAATTAAACAGTAAAAACAGAAATCAGATTCCATTACATTCAGAGTGAGATCTACCACAGTGGCACGAGTGTCCTTATCTCTCTCCCTGTGCACAGACCCATCCAGGCCAGGCAGTCCCAGCCCGGTAGCTTGGATCCCAGCAGCATGTGGTGGGGAACATGGGCCTTAGGACTTGGTGCCCAACCAGCTAGGGCTTGATACCAGGATCTTTCAGTTCTGAACGGTATGAGAGTCATCGGGGCTCCCCCGACCCCCACACCCAGTTTTTTTGCATCTCTGAAATGGTTGTTGCTAGGATTGATAAGATGATGGATAGAAAACCAAGAGTCTGGTGCCTGGCACAGGTAGATAGATGTAGATGCTCTGAAAGATAAATAAACAATTTACAATAAATGAAAGAGACATCGGGAGCAAGAAAGGAGAGAAAGAAGGAAAGGAGGAAGGAAGGAAGGAAGGAAGGGTAGGGAAGAGGAAGGAAGTGGAGAGTAAAGATGGCCAATATCACCATAAAGAGGTGAAATAACAAATAACTCCCAGGATAACCTATTAAACTACTGACATTTCAAGAGTGCCCGCCAGTCACATTCTGAGGTGGGGCTGCAACCATGAAGCTGAAGAAAAGGCAGAGATGACAGGTGGGCATTCTCACCGCACACTGCACCACGCACACTGCCCAGGCTTGAGTCTGGGCCCCTCCCTGTGCCAAGCGGTGCTGGGCAACCCTGGCTCTGTGACATGGGCCATTCAGAGCACAAGGCAGCCTCTCCCTGTGTTCCTCAATACCCCCAGCTAATCTCCATTGATCCAATGTGGCTGAGTGGCCAGCGCCTGAAGCCAGTACCTCTGGGCAGGTTAGCGATGCCCAGACTGTGATCTTGGAAGCCTGAGGCCACACTGCAGTGGACATACTGGGGCGCCACTCCCTGAGATGGGCACCCTGCTGGCACAGACCCGTGCTGCCATTCAAAAGCATTACCTTCTGCAGAGGGTGCCGGGCCCCTTGTAGCCGCAGCCCTTGAGACAGCAGCTCACAGAGGAAAGAGGCTGCCAGAGCCCAGGCCCTGGGTGGGCCCTGGAAGAAGCTGCAGTTCCTGTCTGGAAGCCCCAGCCTTGGGCAGCGCAGCCCAGGGCCAACCCAAGGATCACCCACCTATGTTGAACCTATTCCTGGGCCACTGGAGAGTGTACCACCCCCACATCCCTTCAAGTAGTAACATAAGGTGTTTTGTTTTGGCTTTTGGTTTTTTTTTTGAGACAGAGCTCACCCTGTTGCCCAGGCTGGAATGCAGCAGCGCCATCACAGCTCACTGAAGCCTCTGCCTTCTAGGCTCAAGTGATCCTCCCACCTCAGCCTCCCAAGTCACTGGGATCACAGGCACATATCACTATGCCTGGTTAATTGTTACACTTTTTCGTAGGGCCCTTAACCAACAGGCCACCGCCTGGCAGGGGTTCAGGAGGTTTCTGCTGGAAGGGTCTGGCAGGGACTGGGGACTGGGGACTGGGGGCTGGGGGCCTCCAGTGCAGCCGGGCATCAGCCCTGCTGGTTGTCAGTGTCACTCAGGGGGGCTTTTCTGCAGTGGAGATCCCCAGGCTCCCCCTCAGAGATTCTGGCTCAGTAGGTCTGAATGGGACCTGGGAATCCGTGTCTGGAGACAGCCGCAGGTGACACTATGACTGGCCTAGCTCAGGAGCTACTCACCTGTCCTCACCTCCTGCGCAGAGGCGGGAGCAGGCCTCTCAGTCAATTCTGAACATAATATAAGACCCGGTCTCACTTCTTTCACCCATCACGGGTTTATTCACATCAGCACACATTCAGCTTCCTCCTGTGCTGAGAATGGAGTTCGACACCACAGTGTGAGAGTGTCATGCCTCCGTGGCCACAAAGACATAAGCAAATCCATGCAGCCACTGTGATCAGAGAAGTGACGCTATCCAAACTCCACAGGACACAAGAGGCAGAGCCTGGGGAAGTCAGGGAAGGGTTTACGGAGGGGACTTGCACGAGGTGCTGGGTGGTGAGCGAGGTTCACCTGAAGGAAAGTGTGGAAGGGGGCTAGGACGTTTCAGGCAAAGCTGCAGAAGACCCTGGAGTGTGTGGAAATCCACAGGAAACTGAGTGCATGCGCGTCAGAGGTGAGCAAAGCCCTGCACTCGTTAAAAGCAATGAAAACAGATTGCACTGAGTCTGTCGCCACAGGGAAGACAGCCCCACATGAACTGAACCCACCTTCAGGTTGTGCAGAGATAACTGGGGACTTAAAAGGGAGAAAAAAGGAGGAAGGCGGAGGAACATCAACGGGCTTGGGCAGAGACAGGGAGGTGGAAATTTACAAAAAGCAGGAAAGTGGGATCGTAAATGGGAGCGTGCTGTCTGCGTTTGCTCATTGGCGCTTGTCCCTTGTTAGGAACAGAAACAAATTTCTCATTTCTTTATGACAGGAGGCAAGAGTCAGTCCTGTTAGAGCAATGCACCCACCAGGCTTGGAGTCTGTATTTAAATAGATGGCTCTTGGGTCCTTGAGGAGACAGTTCTAGGTAATGAAGATGTGTATCTCAGAGCACAGCGAAACGATTTGCAATTGCAAGCTTTCTAAAGTAACTGCTCGGAAAGGAAGTCCAGGGTCCTATCCGCCCAGCACCAAGTTTTGGCTGGAACAAACAGTACATTCTCCTGGCAGCATTGCGCTTTCTTAGGCAGGAACTTAAAGGAGACTGAGGTCGGCATCGTAGAGGTGAGGCCTTGAGCCGCTGGAAACTCTGTCAGTTTGTTCAAGTCTCTCAGTGTGGGGAGGTGAGGGGCATCATATGTGCTGAGTCTGGAGTTCTCGTTGGCCAGGGTTGAAGACTCACGGAAAAGAAGCCTCAGAGGATCCTGACTGGAGTTTGGTTGAGGAAACACTCTGTCAGTGGAATGTCATTTGAGGAGAGCATGCTGGAAGATGACCCCAGAAAGGAAAATTGGGGCTAACTGGCAAACAGGACCATCTGCTCTGTTGAGAAGTAGGGACTGGATCCTGAAGTTAAGGGGGGCTGTTTCGAGGTGCACTGGGGAGGAATGGCAAGGTGCAGTCTCTGGGTGAAGCAGGTTGCCCCGACATTGGTGTGGAGGAGAGATTTCAGAGAGAGAATGAAGATAGGGGTTGCCTAGACAGAAGGCATGGGGGGCCAGAACCACGAAAATGGTGGGAAAGACAGGAGGCAGGTGGTGGAGTTGGGACAAATGTAAGGGTCTGAACCACCAGAACCACACAGCTGAGGAATGGGGAAGGAAAGGTGCCTTCTGTACTGGCTGCTGGCCAAGGCCTTTAGCACAGAAACCCTGCCCATTGCGCCCAGAGGGACTGGGAGAATGGACATTCGTAGGATTACAAAGCAGCTCCTCATAATTTTTTTATTTATCTACTTCTTTGAATTTTTGAGAGTGAAAAATGAAGCCAATGAATAACCCTGGCAAATCTTTAAAGAGTTTTAGCAAATCAGTATATAATTTGTTATTGTTAAATAAATAACATACACAGTATTTAAATATAGTGTCTTTGAATTACATCGAGTTCGTTTACTTATTTTAATGAAGATATATATTTTTATATTTAAAAATTGGAAAGCAAAGTTAATAAGCCGACCCAGACGGGGGTACAAAGAGCCTTCTGGACCATCTGCCATTTTGACCAGCAGCAGCCGCCGGGCCAAGCTCCTTTGTCAGCCCGTGAGCTCCCGTCTCCTGCTGCCACCTGGTGGCCGCAAGGCGAATTTACCTGGTCGCTGCAAAGCAATTATTTTAAGGACACAAAATCCTAAACTTGTTGGAAAGTTTGTGATCCTAGCTCCCTGGAATTCAGTGGCATCATGAGCTCCGCAGCTGCCTTTAATTACAACACTAATGCGTGCCTGCAGTTAGCGTGAGGATGGAGAAATATGCAAAGTAGAAAATAAAAGTTTCTCTCAGCCCAGACTGACTCTAAAGACGGCCTCACAGCCATTTGAGGGATGCCCTTACATTTCCTGGGCCTTTATGATTCTGCAGACACTTTAATGAGCCACTCTGAGAACAGAGTGGCTCTCTCTTTGCCAGAGAAGGTCTCAGTGGGACACAGCCCTGCTCCTGGGCAGGCCCCAACAGCCTGGGGTCTCCAGTGGGCACTCAGGATGGAGGGGAGGGGGAGCCGCTGCAGACTCACGGGACGGGGTGGTCCCTGGGTGGTCTGCACCTGATGAGGTGTGGTGCCTCTCCCCTGGGTCCCGCAGGTCATGCTGTTGGAGAACATCATCCTGTTGCTTTTGGCCACCGACTTTCTCCAGGGGGCATCATGGACCAGCCTGCAGACCATAGCTGGGGTCCTGTCTGGATTTCTGATTGGTAAGTCCCAATGTTGCCTTCTTATCTGCATCCCCTCCCCAACCTATTTTTTTTTTTTAACAATGGGCTCAAAGGGCAGGAAACTGAGTTCAGATATGGTTAACTGGAGATCAAGGAACCAGGCTCACTGCACTGTGGGTAGCAGAGCCGTCCCCATCAGAGCATGAGACACTGAGCTCAGCCTCATCTGCCTTGCGATTGTGCTCAGAACCTCATGCAAAGCTGGGGCTGTCCCTCTGTACCCCAAAGCCCCCATCCTCCCCAGAGTTTCCTGCAGGGTTGAGGACGTGACCTCCCTCTCCCATCCCACCTTGGGGAGCTCCTCACATCCTCCTCACATGGCACCCCCTGCAGCCCATAGGCAAGCACCCCGGGAGGTACGTGCCCTAGCAGTGGAGGAGAGGAAGGTGAGGCACAGAGGAGGTCGAGTCCCCAAAAGATCCGATGGTTTGTAACAGATAGAGCTGAGATTCAAGCCCAGCTCCAATGCAGGCCTCAGCACAGGCCTGGCAGCTGTAATCAGCCATGTTTTATGAATGCATGGCCCCAAGGTCTGTGCCGTGCCCACAGTGATGACCTCGCTTCCCAGATTGGCATGAGCTCCGCAGGGATTTTGCCCCGTACTTGAAAGGTGTGGACACCAGCCTCCGCTCCCAGCACAGCAGGCTTCCACCACTGTCACTTTCAGGCCTGCGGTGGGACCGTCAAGGCCAGCACCCGCACATCTCACATGGGGCCTCGTGCTTCTGCAACACGGGCCAGGACAAAGATTCCCCAGTCCTCTGCAACAACTCCTGCCCTCACTCCAGAGCCTGCTGTCTGTCACCCCCACTCTGAAGAGGTGCCCGGAAGTGGCCTCGGGTTCTTTTCTTGCTCACAGCAGCCGGGGGTTGGACGTGGCCTGTGTGAGTGGCCTGGACCTGGGAAAGGAATGACCTGGACACAAAGCACTTAGTGAGATGCTATTCACGGGTTGGAGAAGGGTCAGACGCTGTGGCCTTGTAACAAGCGTCTGAGAGGCACAGACCACCCTGGGTTTCAGCTCTGTCCTTCTTCATAAAACGTCATGGCTCCTCACTTGTTCCAGCCTCAGGTAGCTGAGACAACCCCTTCTTTTTCAAATCAAACTTTTTAGAAAATTGTAGTTTTAAGAAATAATACAGAGAGGCCGGGCGCAGTGGCTCACACCTGTAATCCCAGCACTTTGGGAGGCCGAGGCGGGTGGATCACGAGATCAGGAGAGTGAGACCACAGTGAAACCCTGTCTCTACTAAAAATACAAAAAATTAGCTGGGCGTGGCGGCGAGCACCTGTAGTCCCAGCTACTGGGGAGGCTGAGGCAGGAGAATGGCGTGAACACAGGAGGCGGAGCTTGCAGTCCTGTTTTATTCGGGGTTCTTGTTACAATTAGCTTTGCCTCACACTTAGTGGTTATGAATCTCATTTTCATATATTGTAACTGCATTATGTTATGTGACAGTTGAATTTGGAGTGTATGGTCCAGTTACTTGAATGCATATTTCTACCAAACATTTTGTACCTGTGTATACACACACACACACATGCATGGATGCACACTCACACGCACACACATGTAGATGACTCAACTGGAGCTGCCCTCAAGACATGGCCCCATTCCTCTCACTCCTGCCACCTCCTCCCCTCCTGGCCACCATCCATCTGTTCTCTGTTTCTGTTATTCTGTCACGTGGAGAATGCTATGTGAAAGTACCACACAGTGTGTGGCCCCTGGGGATCGGTCTTGTTCACTTGGCAGAGCTCTCTGGAGAGGCTCCCAGGTTGCTGTGTGTCAGCGGTTCCTTGCTTTTTATGACTGAGTCGCATCCCATGGCTTGGATGGACCACAGCTTGTTTCACCATCGATCCATGGATGGGCATCTGGTTTGTCTTTTTTAAAATAATCATTTGAATAGCAGAGCATTGACTTCTAAGCTGTGTGTGTGGATAAATGGCCTATGGGAAACTGAGGACATCAGGCTGCCCAGGTGAGAAGCACCCCTCTCACCACATTGCATGGTAGTCTGGGTGTTCCTGGCATATTTCAAGCAATCCTTCCTTCAGGGAGGGGCCACGTGATACTTGGAACAAAGGGGCCTTGCCAGCCGGGAAGTCTAACAACTCATCTGGATTTTCCAGCTCACGGGAGGTATAGCTGAGTCCTGGGGGCACAGTGTGGTGGGAGGGAAAAACGTCCCCTCTGCTTTCTGGATTTTAACACTGATTCAAAAAAGATGTCCCGCACCGCTCCAAAAACCTGTCACAGTCCTGGGAGTGGACGCCTGGTTTCCTTCCGGTTCCACTCCAGTGAGAAGACATTTTCACAGCCAGTATGCTGGCCCACGGCACAGCAGGAGGGCAGTGAGTAGGGAGCCCAAAGCCGCGGGCAGCACCCAGCACCCAGGTGGCCGCCGGCTCAGAACCATGTCTGCCGCTCCTCCTCTGGCCTCTGATGGAGCTTCCAGTCCCCTGGCTCCCCGGCTGACCCTTGGGAATCTTCGGCGGGAAGACTGAACACAAATGATAGTCCAAGGAGCACGAGCTTGCATCCAGGCTCCTCCCCTTTTCCTTCCATCCTGTGACCAACCTTCATTGCATACCAACTGCGTGCCAGCCTGGGGATGCCACCAAGAAGCCCCGGACCGCATGGCCTCTGGAAAGTCTGTGTTCACTGAATAAGTGTGCCCAGGACTTCTGTGGGCAGGGGCCTTTGTTCATCTCTCCTGGCCTTGGGTGGCTGCTTGTACAAGAAGGATGACAATATGTCCCTCACCGGGCAATTGTGAGAGTTCAAAACAGGGCAGACATTGGCTGAGCAGGGCCTACTGCAGAGGGGGTGCTGCACATGGAGGCATTCCATCTCTCTTGCCCAAGTTTGAGCCTGGCCACTAACCAGCTGCTTGACCCGGACCCCCCAGTCCCCTAAGACAAGAGAGGATTGGGGGGTGGGGGGTGTGCTTCAGGGGTTCTTTCTAGCTCCGTCATGCTGCAATCTCCTGGCCTCAGGCATTACTTCAGGTTTTGTGCTGTTTATAATGAGCACCCTGAAACCAGGCTCTTTATCCAGTACAACAGGAAACTGGAAATAACGTGGGAGGCTTACTGGAATGCTCTGTTAAAGAAATTATTGCAGCAGTCAACACTTCTGATCAAAATAAATTAAACTGACAACAATGTGATTAAGATGTTTATGCACAAAGGAAGTATTGTTGTTGTTCATGGAAATTCCTTGATATGGGGTTTTTGATGAATCTGATTAACCTCTGTTTAGGTCTTACTTGTTTTTGAGGTTATTTCTTACACCTTCCCTTCCCCCTGCTTTGTAACCCATCAACCACTGTATTGACAGTTGAATTTGGAGTGTATGGTCCATTTACTTGAATGCATATTTCTACCAAACATTTTGTACCTGTGTGTACACACACACACACACATGCATGGATGCACACTCACACGCACACACATGTAGATGACTCAACTGGAGCTGCCCTCAAGACAAAAGCATAGAATCAATCGGATTGAAGCCTTGTTATTCGTGTTTAAGTCTAGAAATATTTACAGCTTTTAGAAGCTGGAACCTACTTAAATTCCCCTAAAATATCCAGTTCTGAGGCTCCAACAAGAGTCCTATTTTGGATCCCAAATTATCTTGCTCTACACAAAAGAGCCAGAACCTGAAACTGCACACCACAGGGAGGATGCAGACTTCAAAGAACATAACCTTGTGGTCTTTTTGTTCTTTTTCAGGCAGTGTCTCGCTGGTAATTTATTACAGCCTGTTGCATCCAAAATCCACAGATATCTGGCAGGGCTGCCTAAGGAAGTCCTGTGGCATTGCAGGAGGTGATAAAACAGAGAGAGGAGCTTCTCCCCGGGCTGTAGCTCTAGCTGGGAAGACAACCGAGAGCTCAGGCTCATGCCAAGGGCCAAGTTATGAGCTAACCATTTTGGGGAAGCCCCCTACCCCTGAGCAGGTCCCCCCAGAGGCTGGGCTGGGGACCCAGGTTGCTGTGGAGGACTCCTTACTCAGTCATCACCACTGGCTGTGGGTGAAACTTGCCCTAAAAACAGGAAATGTGTCTAAGATCAATGCCACCTTTGGAGATGCCAGTCCTGTCTACTGTCCACCTGCGTGGGGGTTGAGTCAACAGGACGACCTGCAGAGGACGGCCCTGTCCGCCCAGCAAGAGCTCCCATCCTCATCCCGTGACCCGTCAACCTTAGAGAACAGCTCTGCATTTGAAGGTGTCCCTAAAGCAGAGGCCGACCCATTGGAAACCTCAAGTTACGTATCTTTTGCCAGCAATCAGCAGGATGAGGCACCTAGCCAGAACCCAGCAGCCACGCAGAGGGTGGGCACCCCAAAGGAAGGAGCCGACGCTGTTTTTGGGACACAGGGGAAGGGGATGGGTGGGGAGCCAAGAGGAGGGGAAGGACAGCAGAGTTCCACATTATACTTCAGCGCCACTGCAGAAGTGGCCACATCCTCACAAGAAGGCAGCCCAGCTACTCTGCAAACAGCCCACTCTGGAAGGAGTCTGAGAAAGAGCTGCCCTGCCCAGCCTGCGTCGCCCCAGCCAGTGGTCAAACCCTTCCCCGTCACCATGGCTGACATTAGCCCCATCCTAGGCACAGGCCCCTGCAGCGGCTTCTGCCCCAGTGCAGGCTTCCCTGAAAGAACCCTCAGTATCTCAGAGCTGGAGGAGCCGCAGGAGCCCACAAGGGACCAAAGTCACCATGCAGCTGTTGGTGTGTGGATGTCGTTGCCACAGCTGAGGACTGCCCATGAGCCCTGCCTCACGTCCACCCCTAAGTCTGAGTCTATCCAAAGGGACTGCAGCTGCAGGGAACAGATGAAGCAAGAGCCGAGTTTTTTCATCTGACCACAGTCATGGTGGGATAAGACAACAGGCTGACAAGCCAAGCTGGTCATTTGGTGCAGTGAGAAGAGAAATCCCACTTCTGACACCTGTGTCCTTGGGCATGTTACTGTCACCTCTGAATCTCCATCTGCATCCCTGAAAAATGAGGAAACAGGGCTGGATGACTTCTCAGATTCGCTGTAAACATCACAGACCCCACCCATGCATAGCAGAGACTCTAACACACTGTGGAGGAGGAGAAAGAGATTCCAGTCAAAATTGCCTGCTGCCTTTTATAAGCTATAGGTTCCCCTGTTTTATCTTTTTGCTGTGGCTTCTTGGAAACACAAAGGTAAAACCCAGATTCCTGTTTTATTCGGGGTTCTTGTTACAATTAGCTTTGCCTCACACTTAGTGGTTATGAATCTCATTTTCATATATTGTAACTGCATTATGTTATGAAGTCTCCTGGTAAGATAATGTGAATGCTTTCTGAGAGTAGATAAGGACTGTGTGTTTGTAATAACTAACATAACTGAAAATGCAAACATCATTCTAAGATTCCCGTATCTTTTGGTTAGGGGACAATATTAGAGCCCTTAAAAAGGAAGAGTAGACTCACTTAGCTCAGCCTCCCCCATGCTAAGGGCACATGCACACATTTTCTGCAATTCGCTCTGACCATCAGTATCCTCCTGGCCAGCCGCATAAATGTATTTTTTTTTGTGAAATGTGCAGCTCCCCTTCTTGCAGGCTGGCCAGCCAGCAGTTCCCTTCCAGCCCCCACTGCTGCTTTCCAGCCCATCTCCTTTATCTCCAAGCTTTGTTCCCACCTCCATTCGATGTGAGACACTATCCGTGATTTAAGCCCATCCAACAAGAAGGGAGCAAACGTCCGTTCCTCTCGCACTCTCCTTCTCTCTGACTCCTCCACTTTAACATGTTCTTTGTGACTGGGTATTTCCATCATTTCTTTAAGCCTTGCTTTGTAGCTGATTAAGGAAGTCCAGTCATAAACCATCAAAGAGAAAGACACACAGAGAGCTGGATGCTATTTGGGGATGGGTATTTTTGTTTTGTTTTGTTTCATTTGTTTATTTGTCGAGACAGGACCTCTCTGTCACCCAGGCTGGACTTCAGTGGCACGATCGTGGCTCACTGCAGCCTCGACCTCCAGGGCTTAAGCAATCCTCTCGCCTCAGCCTCTCGAGTAGGTGGGACTACTCACAGGTGGGCACCATGCCCGGCTACTTTTTTCTATTTTTTGTAGAGACAGGTTCTTGCCATGTTGCCCAGGCTGGTCTCCGACTCCCGAGCTCAAGGAATCTGCCCACCTCGGCCTCCCAACTGGAATTACAGGCGTGAGCCACTGTGCCCAGCCAGAATGGGTAGTTTTTATTCTCTCCAAACACTTCTGGATTAGGGGACAATATTAGAGTTCTAAAAAGGAATAGTAGAATAACTTAGCTCAGCCTGACACATACTAAGGGAATGTGCAGACACTTTCTGCAATAAGCTCTCAGACCATCAGCATCCTCCTGGCCAGCCACATAAGCCAATCAGGTTTGGCAGACAAGTGGCTACAAACTTTCCATACCACAGGTGAAGATAACAAGGGTTTGGGTCGCATGCAGGGACTCACACCGGTAATCCCAGCACTTTGAGAGGCTGAGGCGGGAAGATCACTTGAGGCCAGAAGTTCGAGACCAGCCTGGGCAATGTAGTAAGACCCCATCACTACTAAAAATACAAAAATTATCCTGGTATGTTGGCACACACCTGTAGTCCCAGCTACTCAAGAGGGTGAGGCACGAGAATCAGTTGAACTGGGAGGTGGAGGTTGCAGTGAGTTGAGATCACACCACAGCATTCCAGCCTGGGTGACAGAGCAAGACTCTATCTAAAAAGAAAAAAAAAAGTTTGTTAAGAGAACAAAATCATTCATAGTTCCATTCATTGTGCTATCCCAGCATCTCAGTCCTTCCTCCATGCAGTCTCTCAACAGCATGAATTCACTAACGAGGGGGGCTGTAGACATGAATTTTGGCTTGAGTGCATATCCTGGTTCAACGGCATTTGTGTTATGGGGTAAAAGTAAGGGTGGGATATGGGGAATTTACTCATTCTTTTCCAACTTTCTAGCCCTTGAATAGCCTGAAAAGCTAGAAATACTCTTCATTCATTCATTCATTTAAGGAGTATTATTTGAGTATGACAGGCACTGAGTATGCAGAAATCAAGGCATGTACTTGCTGTTCGAGGCCCTGTGGACTGACATGGGCTTCTCCTCACTTCATGCCTCCAGAAAGTGTATTGCCCGGTGATAAAAAGGATCATAAAATATACATTTATTAGAGAGGACTAATAAATGGACACTTCATTCAAAAATGCTTGCTGAGCACCTACTGGATGCTAGCCATTAGGATCACAGAGCCACACAAAAGAGATGTGACAGGTGCCCACAGCATCGCTGGGAGAAGCAGGTGAGAGCTTTATGGAGTCCCCTCTGAGACGGCTGCAGGAACCCGCAGCAGGTCGGCTTAACAGGGACATGATTGTCATCTGCCAGGACCCAACATCGTTCTGTAGAGGAGAGATTCTATTTTCTTCCTGCAGTTTCTTATGAGCCATGAAGAAACTCCTCAGGGTTCCAGACAGGATTTTAAGACAGAGTTACCCAAAGGTGGACAAGGCTGTCCCTGGAGATGAGTGCATAAAGCCAAAACAGCCCCTTAGTGCAGTGACTAAGAAGGAACCTCAAGGACTAGAAGATGCAGCTGAAAGTGACTTTCTAGGTCCTGACCTGGAGCTTCAATGGCTGGGTATGGGCAGCAAAAAGGCACAGCAGGTGGAGACTTTAAGGTCTGTTCCAGTACATTTTCCTTTTTTTTTTTTTTTTGAGACGGAGTTTCACTCTTGTTGCCCAGGCTGGAATACAGTGATGCAATCTCGACTCACTGCAACCTCCGCCTCCTGGGTTCAAGTGATTCTCTTGCCTCAGCCTCCCAAGTAGCTGAGATTACAGGCACCCACCACCATGCCTGGCTATTTATTAATTAATTAATTTATTTATTAGAGATGGCATTTCATCATTTTGGCCAGGCTGGTCTCGAACTCCTGACCTCAGGTGATCCACTCACCTCAGCCTCCCAATGTGCCGGAATTACAGTCATGAGCCGCTGTGCCTAGCCCATTTTCTATTATTGAGAAGAAGGGAAGAGCCGGAGAATGAAAACCAGTGCATCGGGAGAGACCTGAAGATGAGCACGTTGGCTCCCGCCCTCATGGAGCCTTTACGGATCAGGTTTTGCAATTATCCAAAATAACCAGCCTTGAGTATCCATGACGCTTCACCCCAGGAGACCTCATGCCTCTGCCCGCGGAAGGACACAGAGGACCTCAGTGGGGATGGATGAAGGGCCTTCTTCTTGTCACCAGCTCCCAGGACTGAATACTCACTGCTGTCTTGGGTAGAAGGGACTGGGTGGTGCACTGGACCTCACTAGCCCCCATCTGGATCTTTGTGGCTGGGCCCATGGAGCACGACCATGACATTTGGAGACAGCCGTGCTAACGCCCTTCAGACAAAGACCACCAGGAATCCCCTGTAACTGACCCACTTGGGTTTATGACTCTTCTCAGCAAAGAAGCACGCACGCTGTGGGGGACTGTGGGACCGCTCAGTGAAAGGAGGTTGGAAAGGACTTACAGGCTTTGGACTTTGCTGGGTGAATCTGGGGAGGGTCTAGGGAAGCAGGGCCTACTCAAGGTTGGGGGCAATGTATCGCAGTCAATTGCATCTGTAGGGAGGGACTCGAGCATAAAGCTGCCATGGGTAAAGAAGCAGTCATCACTCATTTAGGGGGAAAGGGGAGCCTGGTGTTTTGTGGTTGCATGGTGACCTTTGGACTTGCTGTGTCACGGTCTCTGGTGGCTGCGTCAGAGGCTGGTGTCCTGTGAGAAGCTTTGTGGCCAACAGGAGCACACCAGGGCCATCCTGTAAGCATCAGACCAGGTCCCAGAGTTGAGGGACTGCTCTTTTCTCTGTCAGAATGTTAGTGGTGGCTTTGTAGATGTTTGTTAGCCTAAATATTATCTATTGGATCACAACCAAAACAGTAACTTTTCCTGAGTCCCAGCGGCGGGTCGCTCATCCTCCAGCTATGTCTGGACCCGAGTTTGCATTTCAGCCCATCCCGTCCTTAGTGCAGAATGGACCTCACGTAGACCGGCTGCATTTGTCCACAGCGTACACTGACGTCCGGAGACAGTGGAAACAGCCGTGTCTGTCACAGAAGCCCAAGGTCACACATCCATGACCCACCTGTCCAGGGGCAAGGCTGAGCCAGTGCAGATAGCCAGGTGCTCCTCACAGGCCCGCAGGAAGGACAGAGGCTGGCCCTGCCCATGCTGTGCTGCTTCCAGTGCATGAGAAGCTCCTGCTTGAGTCACTACATCTGTAGGAGAGAGGTACGACCTGGGGAGGCAAAGCCATACTCACGAGGGAACTCTCCAAGTCCACAGTGAGCAGGGCACAGATTCTCCCCGTATTTCCACCCACTCACCCTCCACTTCCACCAGATTCACCCTCCTTTCCCACCTAACCACCCTCCATCCCCACCCTTCCCACCCACTCACCCCCATTCCCACCCACTCACCCTCCATCCCCACCCACTCACCCTCCATCCCCACCCACTCACTCTTGTCCCCACCCACTCACCCTGCATCCCCTACCCCCACTAGGTCCTTTCCAGCCTCCCCCCGCATAAAACTGTGCGCCCTTAAAGATCGCTCCTCGCCTCAGGGACTCCTCTCTCCACTCATCCGCTGTGTCTGCCCTGACTTGGTGCTGCAGAGATCCATCCTCAAGCACACACCAGGGTATTTGTGGGCTGCAGTCTTCCCCTGTCTCTGTCTCCTCTTCTGATGCTTCTTCCTCAGGAGGTGGCTGTCACCCACAACTTCACCATGGCATTTCCCCTCAGAGCATTTATCTTCCGTCTGCTGCGGCAGCTACCAGGTCACTTCTGTTCATTTTTTAAGTCCACGTCACTTCCCTCTTGTCCCGTGCAGGTCCCCCTCCTATGCCCTACGCTGCAGACTGCACGGCACTGCTGTCTCTACCAAAAGCAGGGAACCTCTGCTATCCAGGACCTGTGGAAAATTAGCCTTGATTTAAATGAATGTTTCCATACCGATCATAAGCTCCTTAGGGCAGGAAATTTTGTTCAACTCTCTGTCCGCTTGAGACCCCGCTTGATAAATGACTCAGGGCAAGCACTCTTACCGTGGAATTCGATTTCCAGGCTTTTCTGAATGACTCAGGATTTTACCTCCAGAAGCAAAGCTTCTGAACTCCCATTTTGTAGGCGGGTCTTTGTGGAAACATTTTCAGTCCTTCCCTGTCCTCCATAGCGGAGGACTCTGATAGCTCAGAACATGGCTGCTTCTCTCTTTCCTGCGCAAAGGAGCAGTTTACAAAGTGAGGAGTAGAGTTAGGAAGCCCAGGAGGGATGGCAGAGTGCTCCGCCTGCAGCTGCAGCCCTGAGGGTG